GTGTGTGTGTGTGTGTGTGTGGGGAGAAGGGGGAGGGAGTCAGTGATCCTCTACGGTGCAACATTGTCTCGGCAGTAACCTCTCTCCAGCGTGGCACTGTCTCTGAGGAGCAGCGGACGTACGGGCTGTGTGTGTTTGTGTTTGTAGCGGTCGATTTATTTGACGATATTTACACAGTGTGGACTCGTATGCAACTCGCGTGAGGATTCGCGGATTCATATCGGTGTAAAACAAACGTGGGATTTTGGTTCATTTCCTCGACGGGCCCGGATACAGCTCGATACCCAGAGAGAGACTCAACTCCGGTCCTTTCGTCCTGACATGGACACAGGAATTGTACCAGAAAAGAAAAGGTAACGTCAACGCTAGCTAATGCTACGGAGCGGAGCTGTGTCGTTGTTTGAGAGCGGACCTGACTCCGGTCTTCGTTCCGGGGTTTGTTTACTGCTGTTTGTGTGATATTGTGGCTTTATTTCAAGGTGAACTGCGAGTTCCGCGTGTTAGTTCGCCTAAACGCGTTGGCTAGCGACGCTATTATCGTTAGCAAGCGGCTAACGCAGCTAGCCGAGCAGGAGCGATGGACGTGAAACTGTTTACGTTATTAAACAAGATACTACGGTAAACTAGTTATTACAGGTGACTTATTATACACATGATGATTGTTGTGTTTTTACCTTGATTACATCTGCTTTGAAGTCGGGTTTTAGCTCGTTAGCTGGCGTTACTATGCTTTTGTTTGTGATCTGTGTTCCTCCTAGGTGCAACATTAGCTTTATTTACATTTGTTTTGAATGTGACACTTTACATAAATATCCCATTAATAGCTTGTGGCTGCTGTTGTACTGTTTGGGTTGATGTATCAAAGCTGACAGTGTTCATGTGAGCACTGCCGGATGGTGGGTGTGCGGTTTCTCTTCAAATATTTAGGCTTTAGTGAAAATGTCCTCGGTTCAAATTTCCCTTTTCATGTTCTGAGCTGATAACAGTTTATGGTTAGGTTTGATCAGAGAAGTAATCATGTTTCTGTATAGCTTTTAAACTTGGATGTTATCAGTAGGTATCAACTTTCAGTTATGTATAACCTGTATAACTAATGAAACTTAAAATATCTTGTTTTAGGCTGCTACCAAACCGCATCCTTTCTAGGTCTGTAGGGGAACTCAACCAGTGAAGCAATAGCTGGTTTCTTTACATAAGTTCAACAGACAACAGGTCAAATAAGGGCTGCCGCTGAAAGAGGTTTTCATAATTAATCACTTCTTTGACTCATTTAGTGTCTAAAGGGTTAGAAATAACGAGAGATGCTGATTTAAAGTCCCCAGAGACTGAAGTGGTGTGTTGGAAATACCTTTTCGCCTGATGAGTCAGTTTAATGATTAATTGATCAACACAAATAAAAGTGATTTAGATTTTTTTTAACTGATTTAATTTGAATTATTAAGTAAAACGATTCAATAAGCTTAAGGACTTGAACTTCAAGTGTTGACTTGTATTATTGACAGACGTTAAATATTCATGTACTCAAACTTGTACTCAGACTTCTCTTGTGTGCAAAACCACACACCTGTCCTGGTTCCTATTTGGGTGTACACTTACTGTACTGATTCAGATGGAGGAAACAGAGTCTGTCCTAATAACATACATAAAGACGATGTCGTACAGGTGATTAACAGATACCCAGCAGAGTTATGACAGGGGACTGCTGGAGGGGAAATAGCAACAATGAAATTCTTCACAGAGGAAAACAATAAAAAGCTTCAGTGTGAAATATACAGTCAATGAAATCCTGCTGTTATTGTCTTGTATAAAAAAGTGCATAGTTTATACACCGGATGTGCTTTGATCCAAGGTTTTCCTGTGCGTCTGAACTGATTGGTGGTAAAATAAATATGTTATAAAATTGGAAGCCCCCCCCCCCAAAGAAAAAAAAAACATACCCCAAGTTTTAATAGTTAGTAAAAGGAGAATTATCTTTGAAATATTGCTAACTCAACATGGGTGCTTTTTGTTCCATAGGTATTATTTGTCATCCTGCTGTTAAGATCTTGTTGGTGTCAGAATGGTATTGGTTAAATTGTAGGCTGACATGTTAAATGGTTGGCGTGTAGTTGTCATGTTTTCAGTTCCAAGTAGACTAACTCCCCCATTAAGGATGTGTTGTTGTTGTAGACTGCATCCAAATGCCCCACGGGCTTAACTCATGGTCTGCTAAATGGCTGTGTGGCACTTTTTCTAGGTGTAGATAAAGCATCGACAACATCCTGTCGATAAATGTGTAAAGTGTGTTCGGTTTGATCTCAGGAAAAGTAAGATTTGTGGTCTTGTTTGATGCAGTTATGACTGGTCTCGTCTGGTGCTTTGGTATTATTTCTGTCTCATCTCTTAATCACTAGGGCTTGACGTCAATAGGAGTGGCCAAGTGTGTGTAGTGATCCACTGCCTGGCAATTTTGCAGGTTGCCCTGAGACATTCAAACACAATTACCACTTGTGTGCAGGCTAGTTAGAACTTGAAAAAGAAATTGGATTTCTTGCCAGCACAGTGCATAGCATTGTTTGTGTTCACATGTTTCTTGTTTCATGTTTTGTGATCGAAGACAAAAGTATAAAAAAAAAAAAAGTGCGCCGAAGGCTTGCTCCTATAATACTGATAAATCGCTGCTTTCTGTAGATGGTCATTGTAGCTGATCAAGTGATTATTGGGTTTAAAAATGCTGAGAGACTTTTGCCAGTGAAATCTAAATATTAAACAGTAGTTTAGGGCTCCTGAGCTTTAACTGTGAGGACTGATTAGTTGTGAATGTAAAGGCTCAGTGATACCATATCTAACTATCTACTAGAGTTATCCTGTAAGATGTCAAATCCCACATTTTTCTGCTTAATGATACATCTTTTTAATACACCATAGTCATAATGGATGTGACAGAGTGACGCCTGAACAATACGAGGAAGGAAGTCTGAAAACAATACCTCGGCACATCATGTCGTCAGCATATTTTAAGAATACATTAACACACCGCTGATCGGTTCCTGTGTATCAGGGTCTGCTGGCGAGTCCAAAATGTGCCATATTTCATACACCACCAGATAACATATTTCAATTTTACACCTTTCTTTCTTTGTGTCACCAACTATGAACAGTTTTTCAGACAGAACTGTTCAGTGAAGCTGAAGAAAAGAAAAGCCTTAGCTGTGATATAATTGGAAGGCATTTGAAATACCAAAGGTCAGCAGTGTAGTCGATCAAAGCCTCAGAACATTGACCAAGTGTAAAATCTGAGCGGTATGCAAAAATGAAGGTAGAGCTGTACATCTGTCTCCCAGGCACCTGTCTTGCCAGTTGCCACGTGTCACATTTAGGCGGAAAACAAGCATAAAAGCTTTTTTGGCTGCGCTATACCCATTTCCTGCGAAACTGCATTTATAGTCAAACCCAGAAGAATCTACTATATTTATGAATGTCTGCTTTTTGAATGAATCCTGAAAAGTACGCGTTGAACACTCCCCAACACCCTCTGTCCATTGAACACCAGTCCGAGATGAAACTTTTTTTAAATGGCAACACACGTAAAGTCAAAGGAAGTAAAATGCTTTATCAGCTGGTGGCCGATCCGCGCAGTCCATATCTGGGGAGTCAGACTACGCTAACTAATCGAGAGGCTTTTTTTTTTTGAGAATGAAGTGCATACGTGGGGCCAGATGTAATCCGTTGAAGTAGTCTTTCTTGGGAATGTAGCACAGAAGGGGGTCATTTAAATGATATTAGTGTGGTGGGTGGTTTATAATGTTGGTCATTCTTAGTGTGTTTGCCAGGACCTCCTAATTGAGAGGGACAGACAACGGCCCTTATTTTGACTTTAACTTTTAGCCTTTATTTGACAGAAAAGGGGGAGAGCAAAGGGATGATATGCAGCAAAGGGCCACAGGTTGGTATCGAACCGCTGCAGCAAGGACTCAGCCTTAGTACATGGGCGCGTTCACTACTTAGAGACCCTGAACTCAAGAATCTTGTAAACTTTCAATCTACCTCCGCTGAAAATCTCAAACTAAACAACTGGTGTATTGTATATGAGGATAAACCAAAACCAGATTTGGCTTAATATGTATTTTAATCAGAAATCTGTTGTAATATAACGTGACAAACTCTAGTAATACCCACTTCAGAGCTGGCGGTGCTGACAGCTGATGACTGTGCCTCATATGCTTTTCTTTAAGGCGTCATACTCCTCATGCCAAAAAAAGGGAAAAAATGATTAGTTTAGTATAGCAACAGCATGGCGGGCTGTAAATTCAACAAAACCTTTTTATTTATTTTTTCTGGCACGACAAAAATAATAGCAACTGAAGGTGTGCATGCTAACCTTTTCAGGGCTTTGAACCAACTCTTGTCGCCTTAATTAATGGTAAAGTGGAACCAGCTGACGTGGGACCATTTGTCCGTCTGTCCTGTGAACGCAATATCTCAGGAATGCCTTGAGGGAATTTCATTACATCAGGCACAAATGTCTCCTTGGGTTCAAGGATGAACTGATTACAACTGTGAGGTCAAAGGTCAAAGACTCTGTGACCTCACATCACATGTTTTCTGCCAAAACGTGAAGAAGTGATACATTTATTATGACATGATGTCACACAAATGTCTTAATAAAAATTATGAAGTGATGACATTTTATGTCCAAAAGGTCAAAGGCCACTTTTCTTATGTCAACATAGTTTAATTTACAACCTTTAAAGTCTTAATTACATATTATATGGTCGACACATGGATACTTAAAGCGGTTGGCTGAGGCATACAACTATGAGGCGGTCGAGTTTTAATCATTTAGATTATTTATTGAGTTGCTGAACATATACCTAATATCACCACCACTGAGTCATGTTGAAGGTTCATTTGTCTGTAAAAGAGATTTATTTTCATTCTTGCTTTGCTTTTCTCCCCATATTGGGTAGAGGTTTTAGCTGTGGTGTTTCCTCGGACTGGATTATATAATAGATAAGGCAATGTTTACAGTCACAATAAACAGGACTGACCAAGAGTGAGAACATTTCTCTAGTAAAATAGGTCAGCCCTTAGTAACAAAATACACAAGCAACTCTGGTAGCATTGGAAAGTGTGATTTTAATTGAACACTGGTTTGTTTCCCCATTAATCTTCAGCCCACTTGTTCACATCTGTTAAGTGTTGTTTACATAATTGCACTCATTCTTATTAGAAAACGAAACAAATCTAATTAAAGCAAGCAAAACTGCAAATGTGATTGTGTTCGCAGCGAAGCGTGTCAGGCAGAGGACTGCTGGGCATGCATGACCATGTGCATTAATAGTGTTATGTAATGGTGGCCCCTCTGCTCGCCTTTGTTTTAACATCAAGGGAGCTGTTTTGTTCTCCTTGCATGTTTTCAAGTAAAAGAATAAAAGCATTTTTTTTATCTCCCTTATGTAAGTTTGAAAAGGGTGGCGATGGCTCATTAAATTGCTGCAGTTTTCCTCGTTATAATTATGTATTACAATACTGAGTAGGTCTAAAAAAGTTTTCAATATGATCAGATTTTTATGAGCTGTTTGAGTCTTTGCTATCGCAGATATCTGTAGAGTTTTGGTATTGTGCTGCATTGTAGTAATCCACAGTGGCCTGTACGTTGTACTGTTTGGCATGTTGAATGTATTGAATGTTGTATACTGTTTGTATGTTGAATGTGTATTGGAATTTTACGGCTGACCTTCATTTGGATAGGATTTGCATGAAGGCATGTGATACAGTGGGATACAACCACCACAGATGAAATGAGTTTGTATACAGGCTCGTACTAATGAATCCACCAGCCTCCTAGTGGGATCACAGGTTATAACAATGTGTTGTCTGTCATTAGATCATCATAAGCTCAGCCAGTAGCTTAGCGAGATGAGTTTCAGCGTGTCTGTAGGGCTGCTGCCTAAAAGTCTATTGGAGCCCTCGAGACCCAGGGTCACCTCTCATCTCATCAGTTGAAGCAATGCACTTTTGTTTTTTAGCTGCGTCATTTTACCCAAAGCAATGCAGGAGCAACCGCACGGCAGGCTGTAAACTTAATGAACCGAGTCTCAAAATGACCATAAAACTAAGTGTGACGGAAGCGGAGAAGGGCGATAGAAATGGAGCGCAGCGTGAGGCAGGGCAGCACAACTCCAGTCTGTTGGCTGCTCTGACGCTCTCTGCTCCAGTGGTGATTGTCAGTAAAGTCGGCTAAACCACTTCTGAACCAGGCGGGGGTACCTCCGTCACTGCCGTCCACTGTTAGTGACTGAAATCTGATGTTGGAACATCACAGATGATAAAGAAAGGCATTACATATTGCAGGTTAAGACTTACAGACACTGCTATGAGTTTAGTGTGGCGTGTGGTATTTCATAGCAAGTGAATTTAAAAACATTACGTGAGCGAGAGAGAACAGAAATACACGTGTACTGTCGGCCTCATTATTCCCACAAATTCAGATGGTTGCCCGACATTATATGTTGGGCAATTCAAACAGGCTGCCATTCAAATCTTGCATCATATGCAGCTGTCTTTCATTCATTTTTAAATGCTCAACAGTATGTTCCCATGACTCTGTAGCATTTGAAACTCATGCCAGTGTATTTTTCTCATTGCCAGATAGTCTGTACGGGAAAGAATATCTTTGAACAGCCAAATGTAATTTGACAGAATTCTGAGTCAGGACGCTGGTACAGCCCTAGTTCTGTGTGTACAATCCCTTATTGTGGCTGTGCCCTGTAGGGTTGACAGAAGATATTGTAAATATTTGCCAGTGGTATTGACCAGTGTGCAAACATGTGGTTGAATGTATACACTTGTGCTTCTAGCTGTAATTACGGTCAAAGTTGAAACATGTCTGTATTACAGTACACATAACCATCGTTGAGAGGAGGTTTCTGTTTTCAGTTACACATAATACACATCTACAAGTGTTTGTCATCAAATGGGGAAGAAAAGGTATGCAGTAGAGTTCTGGTTGGGCCATGATCCAACATGGGTTGGGTTTTGTATTTGTTTATAGATTTGTTTGTTCATTCATAGGGTTAAATGTGGTTTCTGAGAGACAAAAGCAATCCTCAGACTTTTTATCTCTTCTCTCTTTTTTAGACTCATTTTGTAATTTCTATTTGGTCTAAAAACCAAAAGCTTTCCCTAACCTACACTATGCAATGGAAAATCTGTCTGTGACATGATTTGATATCCAGTTGGCTAATTTTAGTTAACTGGTCCATTCTCTCGTTAGAGAGCCTCAAATAACAATATGGCCTTGGTCAGTGCTGTAAATGCATAACAGATCAATTTCAATTAGGTGTACATTTCAAAGCCAAGGGCTTTTCAACTGCCATCCGTTCTGTTGGGTCCTGCTCTGGTGTCATCTAAATGCATGCGAGGGTACGAGATAGTGGTTTGGGACAGGGATTAAGGTATAAATTCAGCATTCAGGATGACTATTGCAATTATGTTGAAAATGTATTTATTTATTTTTATGTGTCTATTTATGTAAATGGTCATGTGAGCTTCACATGTGCTCAGTCATAGAAATACAAACTCAAAACAGGGCTTAGTATAAAAGCCAAGGGCATTGTGAGAAATCAATAAATTTGAGTAAAAGATTTTATAGTGACTTGCGCAACTCATTGTGTCCTTTACAATCGTCTGTACTTTGTCATTTTAAACTGCTGCCAGGCCTTAAGATTTTGTTTACAGTGTGCTGAGAGTCCATTAGCCAGACCGTGGACAACTGCCAGCGTAAATGCTTGATATGAAATGGAGCTAATATGAGGAGGAAGCAGTTATGAGGGAAGCTAATGTAAAATATATGGACAATATGTTTGTGTGTTGTCCCGCTAGTTGGTGTCACTCACTCTGTGTTGGTGTGTGCTCTCTGTGTTAGTGCCTGTATTATCATTCTCCTCCCTGTAGATCCGTTGAGCCAGGCTCGTAAATGTCACAATGATTGGTGTCGCACTGTAGCTTGGCAGTGAACCAGGAGTCCATGCCTCGCCTACCAGCCAATCACTTTGAGGGGGTGGACTCCATTTCTTTTGGTCAGCAGCCAATAAGACGGTGGCAGATAGCCATGCATGTAAATGAGACTGACGGGGGTCCAGACGGCAGCTCGGCCGTGAGCTCGCGTGTTGCCGACTCCAGCTGCTGCAGCCTCTCCGGTGACGGGCCAGCGGCTGACCAGACCGTGTACACACACTCAGTCAGGAAGGAGAGATGTCAGCTCTTTTAGTGTGCATAGTGGGATCAAAACCACCTTGTGGCCAGGCTGTGGCTGACCCACCATTTGTCTCCCGCAGGGTGAGCTCGGAGCGGAGGAAGGAGAAGTCAAGGGATGCGGCGCGATGCCGGCGCGGGAAGGAGTCAGAGGTGTTTTACGAGCTGGCCCAGGAGCTGCCCCTGCCCCACAGTGTCAGCTCCAGCCTGGACAAGGCCTCGATAATGAGACTCACCATCAGCTACCTGCGCATGAGGAAACTGCTCAACGCTGGTCAGTACCTGTACTTTTTGTACCTGTCAGTGGAGAATTTAGCTTAGAGCACATCTGGATTTTTCTTATATTTAGATCCAGACACCCAGTGATAATTAAAGTCTGTATCAGTTTTCATCAGTTACCTCGGAGACAGCTTGAGAATGGATTGTGTTTTTTTTGGGGGGGTCTTTTTGGAGAAAGAAAATGACACCCTAAAGACAACAAAAGAAAAAGTGAGAACAGTTTTTTTTTATGCAGACGGTTTTAACACTGAGTCAGCTGGCATGCACAGATATAGATCTGTTTGCAGATGCACCTGTGGGCACAGTGTGTTATCTGTGTGTCGCAGTATCCTCGCTTCAAATATGTTCTGTAGACAGCAGGGACTTCAGATGTCCTGTGCCTCATTTCCTCTTGCTTTTCTTTTCTTTCCCTACCTTCCTTTATCTCTCCCATCCACTCTCTGTTATCTCCTCTAGATGAGCCAATGGAAGACGAGGAAACAGACCTCGATTTCCAGTTAAACAGCTCCTACCTAAAGGCTCTCGAGGGTTTTCTCATGGTGCTGACTGAAGACGGAGATATGATCTATCTCTCGGAGAATATCAACAAGTGCCTTGGGCTGGCACAGGTAGGTCTGATTTGCTGTGTTAAAGAGAACATAGAGGAATGGGCATTGTTAGGGAAAGTCAGAAGCAGAAAACCAAGGAAATGATTGTATTTCGATGGTTGTACAATAATACAATTTAGTTAGTTTTAACACACACGGCCTTTTATTTAAAAGGGTTAGAAGTCACCACACAATAACAGGACTCACATTCTGTTTTTTACTTTTTTCCACTGCAGTTTGACCTGACCGGACACAGTGTGTTTGACTTCATACATCCCTGTGACCAAGATGAGCTGAGGGAGATGCTGGTCCACAGAACAGGTGAGGGACCAACGGCGTTGTCCCATTATAAGACCTCACTAATGGACAGGGACATGCGCACACAAGCTCTCTGTCAGGTCTGCCAGTGCGCCAGTAGGCAAGGAGTCCAATTCACTCTGAGCTGGCAGATTCAGACTAGTAGGGCTGTCGGAACAAGTTATCATTTCCACACTTCAGGCCTGAGGTCAAAGTGATTAGAGTTGGCTACTGTGTGTGCTTTAGTGACCTTTCATTTAGCCTTACTGGAACAGTGTGCTACATTACTGGGACATTTACTGTTTTGGTTGCACAGCAGAATTTCGGCTTGGTTTGTGTCAGTGGGTTTACTTTTTTGTATCATTTCCAGTTTTTAAGTGAAATTAATTAAGCTAAAATATTCTAGTGCTTTCCTCTGAATATGTGCTTCGTAACATAATTTGTTGACACTTCAGCACACATTGATATTAACTCGGCTGCAACGGCTGTTAACTCTTATCTTGCTGTCGCTGCCCACAGTGCAAAAAAACATTACAGCTTAATGTCTCCCTGAATGCAAATGTGGGCTGCTGGCAGTTGGAAACAATTGCAATAAAGCACATAAAATAAAATGAAGGCAGTTGTAAATGCTAACGTTGTTGAAATGACAATATAAGAAGCTGGTTTCCTCTTTTCAACTGAAAGTCTCTTCCTGTTCATGTAATTTCAGGCACCAAGAAGGCCAAGGAACCAAACACAGAGCGCAGCTTTTTCCTCCGAATGAAGTGCACTCTCACAAGCAGGGGCCGCACCGTCAATGTCAAATCAGCTACATGGAAGGTGAGCTACGGTAGAATCACTGAGGAAATGTTCTCTCGTGTAGTAATTTTAGTATAAAGTATTTTTTTTAAATGTGCTGATGTTGTAGTAGAATGACGTCGGTGGGGGAAGAGTTCGACAACTGGAGTTTAAATGCACAAATGTAAAAGTTACAGACGACATTAGTGGATGTCTACATCAGCAGTATTAATGTGAACAGGAAATGGATCATCATTTTGGTCTAGACACAGTGTCTGTGGTTGACATATATACATATAGAAAACCTAGATTACATCTAGCCATTACTTGAATCGGTTAGGAACTAAAAGCAGGAGTTGAGTGAGCATGATATAATGCACTTAAAACATACTTTTATGAATTAAAAGATAATTTATTTGTAAAGCCCTTAATCACAAGTTAATTTTAAGTTTGTTTCATTTTTATAACTTGAAATGTGTCGTAGAAATAGTCCTGAATAAATGGAAGTAATCAACATGTGTTTGCTGAATTTCATATTATATCATAACTGAGGACATTTCAGAGGCACCTGCATTTAATTTTGTCAACCAGTCGACACAAGGAAAAGTTTTTTATGGACATGGAAAACATTTTTGAATTTAGTCAGACAAGATAATATTATGTAACCATCAATTGTACAATGCTGCAGCTGTAACAGCAGCTGCTGCAACCCACATGCCCAAAACACTGAGTTATTTATTTGTTTGTATATCAGAACACATGTATTTATTTACTTATGTCTGTCTGATAATGATCTGTCTGCTGCATTAGGAAAATGACTTTGGGCTTTGTAAATTATAATCTAAAAGTGTTGTGACCCTCCTGTTGTCTCTCTAGGTGCTCCACTGCTCCGGACATGTCCATGTATATGACAGCCACACTGAGGAGAGTCCCAACGGGCAAAAAGAGCCACCTATCCCCTACTTGGTTTTGATCTGTGACCCCATCCCGCACCCTTCCAACATTGAGGTCCCACTGGATAGCAAGACCTTTCTCAGCCGCCACACAATGGACATGAAGTTCACATATTGTGACGAGAGGTGAGTTTTCATTACATGCTTAGCAGGGGTCGCCTCTGAAGCCACTTGTGTAGTACTTTTCATTGGTTAAGCGCTCACTTATTTGGTCACAGAGAGCCACCTAGTGTTCAGTGTAAATATTACAGAACCCTAGTCTCTGAATCCTCTCAGCGTGTCAGTGGAAGAATAATTTTGTTTTTGCTTGTCCAGGATCACTGAACTCATGGGTTATGATCCAGAGGACCTGTTGAATCGTTCTGTGTATGAGTATTACCACGCTCAGGACTCAGACCATCTCACCAAGACTCACCAAAACTGTAAGCAGACACAAAGAGTGCATGGATCTTCAATTAAAACTTGTTCTTAAATCCACAACAAATTCCAGCTGTGTTATGTTTGCCGCATCAAGTCTAATTTTTGTTTCTCTCTGCTGTTAGTGTTTGCAAAGGGCCAGGTCTGCACAGGCCAGTACCGGATGTTGGCCAAGAGAGGAGGCTTTGTGTGGGTGGAGACCCAAGCCACTGTCATCTACAACAACAAGAACTCCCAACCACAGTGTGTCGTCTGTGTCAACTTTGTGCTCAGGTACTATAAAGACTCTTTCAAGACTTAGTATTTTCACAAGAGATTGCACTGTCAAGTCAGATAGCTGAAGAACTCACTTGTACAAAATAGATAGATTACAGATGGTGATTTTGTGTTTCCCTTCAGAAGTCAAAATCCTCAGTACACTCAGTCTTACGGCTGCATGACTCTGTTACAGTGGCATCCAGGAGGAGAAACTGATCCTGTCTCTGGAGCAGATCGAGGATGTGAAGCCAGTGAAGGCGGAGCTGCAGCAGGAGAAAGAAAAGGCTGTAGTTGAGAGCAGCGAGCCTGATATCCCCAGATCCCCAACCCCTCTGAAGGAGGAGGTGGAGCAGAAGGTCCCAGAGGTGGATGTGATCAAACTGTTCACTCAGGCAGTAGCGGCCCAGTCGCTGGTTAGCCTGTATGACAGGCTGAAGGAGGAGCCCGAGGCCCTCACCCTGCTGGCCCCAGCTCCAGGAGACACCATCATCTCCCTGGACTTCAGCTGCCCTGGTTCGTTGCCTCATAAATGCACACCTCTCCACAACATAAATCACAGTTTATCTCCTGGATGATTGAAACTGTTGTGACCTCCCTCTGTCTTCTGGTACAGATTCAGAGATCCCGATGATGAACGATGTTCCTGTCTACAATGATGTAATGCTTCCCTCCACCAGTGACAAGCTGGCTCTGCCTCTTTCCCCTCTGCCGCCCAGTGAGCCTCTCCACGTCACCACCACATCTGAGGATGCAAAAACTCAGCGCTATAATCCAGCCCCGTCTACTACACCGGCCAGCTCCTCAGAGGTAACACAGTGAATTATTGTCTTTTTGCAGTATAGACATTACACTTTTTGCTCCACTCATTAATATGTACTGAGAAGGGAATGACTTTTGACTTCTCATCTCTTCAGCCTGGCAGTCCGCTGGACTTTTGTTTCCCCATGGAGTCCGATATGAGCTCAGATTTCAAACTCGACTTGGTGGAGAAGCTGTTTGCCATTGATACAGAGCCCAAGACCCCCTTCACCACACAGGTAATAATACCAGGAGATACTGTAGATCTAAGGCAGTAAAAAGTTCTCTGTATTACGATTCACTAGACCTTTTTTCTCCCCTTAAGGCACCGGAAGACTTCGATCTGGAGACGTTAGCTCCCTACATCCCCATGGACGATGACTTCCAGCTGCGCAGTGTGACCCCAGACGAGCCTCTATCTTGTGAGACAGTTAAATCCCATCAGAGTTCTCCAGTATGCGTCACACAGGACGTCCATAGCTATAACTCACCAGGCAGTCGCACAGCTTCTCCGGCACCACCTGAGCCAGCCCCTCATCTTGCCACCATCCTTGCTAAGAGGTAAAATCTCCCAGGTGCTCCGTCTTTATGGCTTCATCGTATCACTTGCCGGGTTAGCTAACCACTATTTCTGTGCTGCAGGATCACACAGCTGGACAAAGAAGTATCGCTCAGCACCCTGGCAGCTCAGAACACACAGCGTAAAAGAAAACTGTGTGACATAAAAGAGATGATTGGATCGGTAAGTCCTTGACATCCAAACATGGTTTATAGATCTCACTTTATATATTTACAGATGGAAAGTTTGAGTGTCTGTATTTGCTGGTTTTCCCAGGGAACTCTGCGCCAGGAACAACTGGAGCCGGGCAAAAAGCTGAAGGCATCAGAGTCAGGAACAACCAGAACCATACTTCTGCTGCCGTCAGGTGAACAAACTAGATCTGTAGCAAATACGAAACGAAGTAACGAAGTAATACGAAACATCAACAGAACCTTAACTCTCATTATTTTGTCCTTTCTCAGATTTGGCGAGTCGTCTGCTTGGCAGCACGTCAGAGGGCACGAGTTCCCTCTTCACCCTGCCACAGCTCACCCGCGACGACTGCGAGGTCAACGCCCCCTTACAGGGTCGTCAGTACCTGCTGCAGGGGGAGGAGCTGCTGCGCGCTCTGGACCACGTCAACTGAGTCATTGCTTAGCCTGCTCACTGCTGAACTAGACTGGACACTACAATTTCTCCCTCATATTGTCACTCCCTCTCAAAGACCCCCACCCCCCC